TCTGGAAAAATTCAGAAAGACAGAGAAGGACCTCAGAGTTACAGATGGATGTCAACAGTATTGAAGCAAAGCATAATGGCATAGCAATTAACATGCAGTTTTCTTTCAAATTCATGTTTTGTGATTTCCCTAACAACTCCTCAGCAACTTTTGTTGCCTCAACAGTGGTATTCTTTCCAACTTACCAAAACATACCGTAAGGTTGTTGGTGGTGGCTGTGTTCTTTCTTTTCTTTAGCAAAAGAAAAATGAAACGCAATAAATTTAGGATGTTGAAGTATATGAGTTCTTAGTATTTAAAATTGATTGAAAAGAATTTACCGAGAGCAACTTGATCAGTCTTGACATCCCTGGAAAATGTATGTTTTCTATCTTTCAATAAAAGTATACACAATGGCAATATAAGCTTTCATAACCTTTTTGAGGGTCATGGATGGACCACCTGTAGAGCTATGATGTTTGTCCAGTTTCCATGTTCTTTTAGTATTTGGCCTGAGACTGCCAACAATTAATTGCTGTGGTTTTGGTAACTTGGACATCTGTCCAGGGCAAAATGAACTGAGATCAGCAATGAACTGAGATGAGCATTACATGTATGGAAGATGTTTTCCTTTCTCCTTCCTGACAACAATTTATTTTGCTTTCGGGTGGACTGTACAACCTTACTGTCTTCAGCAGGGTTTCCTGTTTGTAAACAGGAGGGGTTCTTGTTGGTAGTTAAAATCATAGGTTTTGCAATTTGACTTGAGAATAAAATACAGTCAGGACAGAATATAGCTTCAATTCCAGTTTTTAAAAGTGTCCTCAGCAGGTATCAAGCAATATATTAACGCTAGGAAGTATTTTGCCTACTCAGTACTTGCTTCCCTTCTGCAGACTCTTTCACCTAACTAACCTAGCAGTTCTATGGAAATGATTTTTTTAACTGATGTTAGTGTTGTCTTTTAGGTGGGATACCATATAAGTGGCCACTAGGTAAGGAAAGCATACTTTTGATACAGTTGGATGGCAATTCTGTTTTCATATGAATTGCTATGGAAATCTTCCATTTTTCAAAACATATGCTATCACCATTGTCAAGAAAATAATGTAAATTATGCTTTCTAATTATGTTTTTTCCTCTAAGACTCTGAGCAAATGTGCTTCTGAGGGTGAGCTCAATAGAGGCATACACTGTAGTTTGCAGGTGAGGCTATGGGATGGCTTGGTTTAGAAATGTTCTTCTAGTTCACAGTCTGGTACCATCTTTCTGTCTAATCACAGAGGAGTGCTTAGCACTTTAGTCCTCCAGTAGGTCCACAGAGATATGATATTCTACTTCCTTTGATAGAAACAAATGATCCTTAATAACAGATGTAAACCAATTTCACTGATAACACCATAAATCTGCTAAAATGCAAATATTTTAGAGATTTGCAAAATCTCTGAAATGCAAAAATTGTTTTATATTGAAGATCATTCTTGAAATGTGTTTGGAAGACTGGATATTGTGCTAGAATAAACTTTCGTTTTGTTTTCAGACACCACAAACTTGGAAGAAATATTACCTGTGGCATTTACAGACATATAATTAAAATTTGGTGAATCTAAGTTTCAATAAACTGTGAGCTCATTTGTTGTGTATATTGAGCTTCTGCCTTCAAATTGTGCTCTAAAATTTCTTAGCTTTCTACTAATCTGTGGCTTTAGTGAGGCTGAAAATACCATGAGAACAGAGGAAAGATTGTGCATATTTCCTTGCTTCTCATTCCAGGCAAAACAGGGAGGTGGAAACATTGACTTAAAAGTAAAACTTGAGTGAGGTTTGTGTGTTTGGAGTGGTTTTTTTTTTTCCTTTTTTTTTTAAATATTTATTTGTATTATTTTAACCCGAATGTGTTTTTGCTTTGAAATGTTTTGGTCTCTTTTCAGCCGTTTATAGCATCACTTCTAAAGACATGTTATTGTTTTTCTGTGAAAATTGTGAATTAAGTTTTGGGTGCTTTAGAAATCCCCAGGTGCAGAACACAAGTATGTTTAAGTTAAAACACAAATATTTTCCAAAGCTTTCGTTTATATGGTAGGTGTTTGGTGACTCTGAGTTACTGGATACAGTTTGGGTTGGAACCAATCCTAGAGTTTGTATTTTACTTATGCTAGCATATTGCAATGGCAAAGAAAAAGGAAGGAAGGAGCAAAGATCTCATCAAATCTGTTCATGTTGCAGCCTCAACTAATTTGGTTTCTTAGAAGTATCGCCAACATGTACAGAAAGAAGTATGGGTTAGATGAGTGGAAGGAGAGGTGGATTGAGAACTGGCTGTACGGCAGAGCTAAGAGGGTTGTGATCACTACTGAAGTCTAGTTGGAGGCCTGTAGCTAGCGATTTTCTCCAAGGGTCAGTACTGGGTCCAGTCTTGTTCAACTTACTCATTAATGGAAAAAAAAGACAGAGCATGTACTCAGCAGGTGTGCTGATGATACAAATCTGGGAGGAGTAGCTGATACACCAGAGGGCTGTGCTGCTATTCAGAGAGACCTGGGCAAGCTGAGAGGAACCTCATGAAGTTCAAGCCAAGTGCCTCAGAAGAAATAACCCCATGCACCAGTACAGGCTGGGGGGTGATCTGCTGGAAAGCAGCTCTACAGAGAAGAACCTGGGAGGCCTGGTGGGCAGGTTAACCATAAGTCCGCAATGTGCCCTTGTGGCCAAGAAGGCCAGTGGTATCCTGTGCTGCATTAGGAAGAGTAGTGCCAGCAGGTGGAAGGAGGTGATCCTCTCTCTCTACTCACCCTGGTGAATCATAGAATCATAGAATGCTTAAGGTTGGAAGGGACCTCTAGAGGTCATCTAGTCCAACCCCCCTGCACACGCAGGGTCACCTACAGCTCGTGGCACAGGACTGCGTCCAAGCGGGTTTTGAAGATCTC